AAACTTTGTGAATCAAAGTTGTAGATTATGCAACAAGCTACAACTTTCATGTTTTGACTTTTGTTTGAATCCAAATGGATCATGGTGAAAAGATGGGGCAAAGTTGGGAAAAAATTAGGGTTTTTCATAACTTAGAAAAATTCTAAGTTATGAAAAATTCCATTTTCAAACCCTAATTTGCATTTTGAGATTTCTTGGTGAACAAGTTTCATGATTTGGAATGTTTTGATGAAAAATGAATCTTGACTCTTGATTTTGACCAAAAAGTCAAAGTTTGACTTTTCAGTATACAGTCAAAATTGATCAATTGACTGGGAAATTCAACTGTCAATCTTGTGTACTTGGGATCTTTTGAGCTTGATGAACATGTCAAGATAATTCCATTGAGTCCTTGAGGCCATATGTGAGCTTGGTTTGCCATTGGCTAGGTCAAACAGTCAAAAATTGCCTTTGTGCAGTCAAAACCCTAGAAATGACCATTTTGCCCTTTTGATGATCTGATCAAATTTCTTGTGGAATTGTGATCCAAACTTGATCAAATGGTCCATGTGAGTTCATAATGTTGATGTGGATCAAATTTCATGAGGTTTGACTGTCAATTGGCCACAGTTGACTTTTTTCCCCAATACAGCTGATTTCTAGGTCAACTGTTCAATTGATTGGGTAAAACTTGGAATCAAGACTTGAAACTTGGTATAGGTAAACTTGGGAGTCCAACATGAAGCATGAAAGTCATCTTAGGCATTTTAGGTCAAAACATCCTAGGGCAAACACAAACCCTAATTTGAGTTCACAGTGCAAGGAGAAGCCTTGAGCAGAGGAAACCCTAACTGTATCTTGATCTTCAAAGGTCTTGTGATGAGAAAATGTTGAGGAAATGGGAGGGCAAATTTTGGGGTACAACATGGGCCATTAGTTGACATAACGATATGGTCATAAGTTGCCAACACAATAGATTGATTCTTCTCTTGTCTTATAAACCCTTCATTAGTAAGTTAACAGATTATGACTAATTAACATAATATGAGAAGTAGTGTTACCTATAGAATGATGAAACAAAATGTTCGGGTTCTTTCTTGGAATACCATATGCAAGCGATAGCATGGAAACATGGGATTCCGGTTAAATCCCACTTTCTACAACCACACTTCTTTTGCAGCAAGTTAACAGAATACGTCTCAACACCATTTGAAACCCAAAAAATAGCAAAGTCATCATCGAAATGTCATTTGCAATCCACTCTTCTGATGCGTTCTTTGTTTTTCCAATACTTTTTGAACGTTAGGACTTATTACACCATCGTACCTACGTAATTTCTCATTTTTAGTTGAAATTCTAATTGTTATGTAATGTTTGACTCCATCTAGCAGTGAAATGATTAGCCTGTCTCTATATTCCAATGTCGCTCGATTAAAAGTTTCACACATGTTGTTGACTTGCAAATCGCATTGTGTGTTTGTCTTGAAATGTGATCTACTCCAACATGCAGTAGGTACAGACATCATGTCTTTCCAAGCATTCTCATTGAGCTCTTTCATCAAGTTCATTGCTCTTTCCCATCCAGGTATTGTTGTGGCCCTATCTGCCCTCCATAAAACTTCCTTCATATGTATCCCAGGATATTTCTTCCTTCAATTGTCATACAAGTGTTTAACACACAACCTATGTTCAACATGTTTGCTTGTCTCTAGAATAGCTGGTACCAGACCCTGTTCAATAAGATGACATATTTAAGATGACATATTTAAAGACATAATAAGTCAGTAAAACTAACCTTATGTTGATCAGATATAAATCTGTAGTCCATGTCTTAAATGGATTGTAAGTCTTAAAGTAATAACTTAAGGAACCATTGCCAAGAGTCCTTTGTTTCAGCTTCCACTACGGTATAAGTGATTGGATAAATTATTCTATTTCCATCCTTCCCAACAACACCTATTAACTGACCTCCAAAGTCCCCTTTCAGAAAACAAGCGTCCAATCCAATTAAAGGCCTACAAGTGGTTGCAAACGCTGCCTTACAAGCCTCTAAACATACATATGTTCTTTCAAACACAAGTCTAACATCTGAATCAGCACACTTGATTTTAACAGTAGAATTTGGATTTGAATTTAATAACTCCTCGGAATAGCTCCTAAGATGGTTGAACTGATCTTGATCGGCACCTTGAATTAACTTTATAGCTTTTCTCTTGGCTCTATAAGCTTGATGACTTGACAGCTTCACACCCCATATTCTAACACCTTCTGCAATCAGCCCTTTATTCTTCATTTCAGGAGTGTGTCTTAGGGTATCCATAAATTTGTGAGTTAACCATTGCGTTGTCGCTTGTCTATTCTTGGTTGTCCTATGGCAAGCATGTCGATCAGTGAAGCTAACAATTTGCCAAAATTGGCTGGTGGACCTCATGCTAAACCTAATATAAAATGGACAACCTACAATACATTTGGCAACCACTCTCTTCTTGTCATTTTTCACGATTTTGAGACTTTTTTTGTTCTCCATAGCAAACTCCTTAATGGCATTTCTTATTTTCTCTTTATCCTTGAACACCGTCCCTACTTCAAGTTTTTTAGATCCTTTAAAAGTTGGAAACCTTTCTATATCAACTTTGGCATCACTATCCGGTGGAGTATAAAGCACATCTGAATCACAACTTTCATTATCAGAAATATCATTCATCCTTGAAGGTTTTTCTGTTGTAACTGTAGGGAGAATTGTCTACCAATCAACAACAACATCCTGGCCTTAATCCAACTCATCTAAGTCAACTTCTTCATCATCATTTTCACTGCTCAAGTTATAATCTAGATCTGTTTCACTATCATCAACTAAATTTTCAACATCAGTAACCACTACATTTTCCTCCTCACTAACTTCTTCATTATTAACCTCTACATTTTCATCTTCACTAAGTTATTTAGTAACCTCCACGTTTTCTTCTTCTCTAACTTCTTCAGTAACGTCCATAGTTTCTTCCACAGTTGCTCTCTCACCATTAACCTTCATAGTTTCCTCAACATTAACCTCCGCAGTTTCTTCAGCAGTTGCTCCTTCCCCATTAACCTCCATAGTTGCTCCCTCACCATTAACCTTTATAATTTCCTCAACAATTGTTCCCTCACCATTAACCTCCACAGTTGCTCCCTCACCATTAACCTCCACATTTTCCTCAACAGTTTCTCCCTCCCTACTAACCTCCATAGTTTCCTCAACATTTTCCTCCACATTTCCTCCCTCCCCATTAACCTCACCATTACTTCCCTTCTCAAAAATAACATCATCAATACATACTTCTTCAACTTTGTGTTCTACATAGATGACAACTAGTTTAAATCCTCTAACATCTTTTACTAACCTTAACATGTCGTTGTCACTATTCAGAGGCCGAAGTCCACGTGAAAAGGAAAAGTTGGAATTCCAATACCATAGGCACTTTATGTTACAATACACATCTGCTTTGATCAAGTCTTCAATTTGCATATACGACAGGAAATCCACATCACAATCACAATCCATTTAGTAACAACCTCACCAACATACAACTTCACTGGTTATCTACAAAATGTCCCCGATGATTTAATCTCAGTCTGACAAGTTGGGTGTCGAATGTCCTGAAACAGAACATGTTAGGGACCACTCGCAGACATTAGGGACTACAACATAGAGAAATCACATTAAATAATCAGTAAAGGCAATAGATCATAAAGAAATCGGGGATGAGACCACAACAACAACATAAAGAATACTGGGATGGGACCACAACATCAACATAAAGAAGAGATACGAACACAGTGACACGTACCTTGTCACGTAGCTTAGATTTTCCATTGAAGAGCTGCACGAAGAGCACGATGATTTGCAATGGTGATTTAGGGTTCGTTGGTCACATATGAAGAGAGATGAACAGATGCATAGAGTAGAGCTTGTTCTTGTTTTGAGATGCCATTTTTGAGAAATGAAATAGTTATTTACTTCTACAATTAACATAATATTGACTTATTTGCATAAATTAAACATTAAAATAATTATGAAATTAGAATAAAACTAAATTACATTAATATTTGCATGACATGGAACTGATATATCATCAAAAATAATATCATGTCATACAAAAAAGTACCTAAATTTAAAAGGGGACCAAAATATTAAAAATTAAAAAAGAGACTAAAATAATAAATTTAAAAATAAAAGACTAAAATCAAATAAAATATTAAATAAGAAAACCAAAATTACAATTAAACCTAATTGAATTTATAAAGTCTTTCTAATTTGAGAATATATTGTTAATATTTGATCTAACATATCTACTAACAAATATATTGTTAATATTTGATCTAACATATCTACTAACTTCCAACTTCTGTTCTCTTCGAAAGATAAACTCAACCCTACACAAACTTGAAAAAGCAATAATTGATGGAACATCTTTTACATTAAATTAAATCGCTGTCATATAATAGAAATACTACAAATATATTTTGTGTACTACCATTATAAAGCAATTGATTGATAAGGAGAAACCATAATAATTGTTATTGAATCCAAACTACTTTCCTTAGTAGTGCCAAATTCACAATTATAAAAAATTGGAAAAATAAATGCAAATTGCTTCTTTTGTACATATCTTATCACTTCCACAAAACACAAGACTTTCCCTATCCATAATTAAGAGAAGGGTAATTTAGGCTTCTTTTTTTTTAAAATAAATTACTAATAATTCATGTTAAAAAATACTCAAGCACATAGTAGGTCCCCAAAACCACCTAGTAGTGCAAGTCACCATCAAACAAACACTATCTTATGCTATATTCAAACATGATCATCTTCCAAACCACTATTGAAAATATACAAAAAGAAAAACCAAACCAAAGAAGAAGAGATTCTCTCTCTCTTTCTCTCTTGTTGTTTGTGTTTCAAGCTTTCAAAACCTTTTCTTCCTAAACTCCCTCACATGAAAACCAAAACCACCACAAAATCTTCCCCCCTTTCTTGAAAAATGGTTCAAAGAAAGGTCCCAAACAATCTTAGTATCCAAACACAACATGTTAAATTTGACAAATTTCCCACAAACATGAAACTATCTTCTTCATCTTCTCATCAACAAAACCAAGATGATAAAAGTAAACTTTCTAAGAAAATGAAGAAATCAAACTCAATCAAACTCTCTCATCTTGAGACTCTTCAACTTCAATCAACACCAATTTCAACAAAAACAACAACAAAAGATGGTTCACCAAATTACATGAAGCACACAAGTAGTTCACAATCAAAAAAGGAACTTTTTCATGTAAGTCTTAGAAAAACTCAATCTTGTTCTGTTTCTAAGAATCTTGATACAAAATTTTCAAGTGATTATTCATGTAAAAAACCTAGTTTGTGTTTGGTTAGAACATTAACAAAAACTACTAGTTTTAAGGGTTCTAGAAATTCTCCTAGAAAATCAACAAGGGCTACTTGTTCTTCCACTCTGAAAGACTCAAACTTTCCATCATATCTTGAGCTTAATCATGGTGGAACTGAGTTAGAGGGAAGTTCAGTTATGAGGGTTTGTTCATATAGTTATTGTTCTCTTAATGGACATCATCATCATCATGGTGATAATTTGCCTCCTTTGAAGACTTTTGTGTCTTCGAGAAGGCGCGTATTGAAGCGTGTGAAGCTCGAAGCGCTGAGTCCTCGAAGTCCTCGAAATCGGAGATTGAAGACGACGTGTGAGGTAGGAAAGAAGGACTGTGATGTTGAGCGGTATGTGTTTGATGAAAAACCTGAATGTGATGAAATTGGCATGGATTTCTTCATTGAAATTTATGCTAGTGGAAAAAAAGATGAGAAACCGATAGGAGAAGAAGAAATTGGAAAAATCGATTTTCTGGAAGAGGTTGAGGGTTATGAAGATATCATCAAGTCTACAATTGAAGATGATGTCATAGAAGCAGATTTTCTGAAAGAGGTTAAGGATCAAGAGAAACATGAAGATGCAGATGCAGATGAAGAAGAACAATCTAGTTGGTCTCATGAAGAAATGAGTATGGAAGATGTTCACAATAATTTGGATGATTCTGATTCCGAACGGTCCTATGGATTTGAGCAAGAACATGATGCTGATTCTTCTGTTTACGCGGATGAGGAAAATGACTCGAAAGATGAATCTTTATCTCAGAGTTCTCATGATGTATCGGTGACATGGTTAGACGATATCATTAGCTGCTATTACGATGACATTATTTTGCTTGATGAAACACTCAAAGAATCCAAATCCGAAGAAATCATCTATCTTGAAGAACAACCTAATGATAGCATGATTAGTTTTGTCCTTGATGACAAAATTGGATGCAACGAGACTCAAGAAATCGATGACCCTACCAGTGACATTGGTTGTGACCGATCTTCTTTGGCAGATGAAATATTTGATTACCTAACAAATTCCGAAGAGAAAGTTGATGAGACTAGTCAAGAGAACAAAGATTTCAAGAGAGGGGAGAAGAACCAAATTCAACTGTCTCCGAATGAATTTGAACTTTGTCCCTTGAAGCAAACGATCACAGACCAAACTCTTACCGCTGACGTGATAACTCGTGGACAGGACGACCATATTCCGTTAGTCGATGTTGTTGAAGAAAGCATCAAAGATATTCAAAATCAAGGCAAAGGTAATAAAAGATCAAGTTGCGTAATCGATGAAGAGGAAAACGCAAGAGAGGATTGGAAAGGTGTGATTAGAAGAAAGAGGTGTGTTGACGACGATGATGAAGAGACGAGGAAGTTCAGTCCAAGAGATCCGAATTTCCTTCCATTGGTTCCTGAAAAAGAAAAAGAAAAAGTCGATTTGAGGCATCAAATGATGGATGAGAGAAAGAATGCGGAGGATTGGATGGTTGATTGTGCACTAAGGCAAGTTGTTAACAAGCTTGCTCCTGCTAGGAAGAAGAAGGTTGCATTGTTAGTTGAAGCTTTTGAAACTGTTATACCTAAATGTAAATCACATTTGAGAAACAATTCAAGGTTTGTTCGCGCATGCTAGACACATTCAAGCTTGCCGCTGATGAATCTTGATAAGGTAAATACTCTCAAATATAATTGATTTTTTCTTCAGAATTGATTCCAACTTGAAGTTAAGATTTGTAGATTTTAAATCCAAACATGTTTTTTACACTGAAGTTTGTTGTTCAATTCATTTTTATGTAAATGTATTCAAACATAAATCGTTTTACATTCAATTCACTTTTGATCATAATCAATTTTACATAATTAATTTTTTTCACCGCAGAATCAAAACTAAGCCAAGTGTTATGTGTGGCACTTGAAGCATGGCCAATCTCAAGGAGTGATCTTCATGATGATTTATGAAGCCTGGAAGGAATTATGCAGCTTGGAGCTTTTAAGCACTTAAAAGTTGAAACTTGTAAAATGGAAAATGAAGCTCAAGAAAAGGAATTTATGGTTCCAACTTTATGATTATATATGGGGTTTGCTTTATAATAATTGTGTAGTGTGTAACTTTAATCATGTGTGTATTTTGTTGATGTTTGTATCAGATTTACTAATACTTTGTGTGATGAAGGTTATCCTTGATTGTGTTAACTTATTATTATAAGTGTTTGTACTTCTTATCAATCAATGTATGATATAATGCACAAGGACAACTAATTATTGTTAGTTTTATATAATCTTCTTATTCTTATAATCAGGAATATTAAAAAATGCAGTTATAGTCAATAGAATAATTTTTGTTTAACATTTGACCAACTAACGATTAGGGAAATTAGACATTTTTGTTTGTCCTATTTATAATTAGTGGGCAAGCTTGCATATGTGAATCACTAATCTTGCATATAACAATTATTTCACATTTCACAATAATTTTTTTTTTAAAAGTTATTGAATTATAAATATCAATAACATGTTTATATTTTAAAAGAAAATACAAACTAATATCATTGTCATGACTTAAATCCCGAACCAACAGTAGGACTTGAATTTAGCATGTGCCTTGCTAGCCATAAATCTTGAAACAAAGTTTAAGATATGTATGTTAAAGGTTAGAGTTATACATGGTGTTGCTTCTAAACTACAAGGTCTAACACAATTAGACAAAAAAAGTTGTATTTTTAGAATTTTTAATATTTTTGTCGGTGGATAATTTTTTAACTATTAAGAAAATTTTCAAAAGTTTGGAGCTGACATCAGATCTCAAAATGAATTTTGTTAAGAAATTTTTTTTGGTGTTAATGTGAGTAGGTTGTTTTATGATTCAAGCTAAGGAGTTTTTGCACAGTAAGATGGATTCCTACCTCTTAAGTATTTAGGGCTTCTAGTGAATGCAGACTCAAGAAAGAAATGAACATATGACTCTTTAGTTAAGCTAGATTTTAAGAGGTTGACTTTCTGGAGAAATAGGCTTATGAGCCTTGGATGACGAGTGGTCTTGTTGAATTTGGAATTGAACTCTATTTTTGTGTTTTTTATGTCTTTCATGAAGATGTATGTTTCGGTTTGAGAAAAATCGATAGGGATGCAGAGGCAGTTTCTTTATAAGGGCTCCAAAGGGGGGGGGGGGGGGGGGGGGGGGGGGGGTGTTAAGGTTGTGTGGGTGAATTGGACGGATGTATATAATGTCAAAAGTGCGGGTGGTTTAGGGGTTAAGAATCTTAGACTCGTCAATCTATCTTTGTAAAGTAAGTGGAGGTGAAGGATTCTTCTTAATTTGCCTTCATTATGGAGAGATATTTGTGTTGCAAGGTATGATTCTCAAGGGTTTAGGTTATCGTCAGAGGGTAGGTTAGAAGATTTTAAGAGGGTCTCTTAGTGGTGGCGAGTGGTTTTACTTCTTGGGTTTCCTCTTGGTTTGGAGGGTGATTGGTTTGCCTCTTCCTGTGTCAAGAGGGTTTGGGATAATTGATTGACTCGGTTTTGGCATGATGTTTGGGTTGACTCAACACCTTTATGTGTCCCTTGTGAGAGGTTATTTCTTGTTTTGGAACAAAAATATTTGGTGGAGGACTCTATGGGAGCTTGGGAGGGGAAAGTCTGGGTGTGAAATTTTAGGTAGAGGTGTCTTTTCCGTGTTTGGGATGAGGAGTTTCTGAAGTCTTTTATAGGGTTATCTTCAGGTGGTGAGGTTAGGTCGGGAGGATGTTTGATTTGAAACTTGGACCATGTTTGTGGGCCCTCTGTGAAGTTTGTCTATCATTGACAAAGCCTAACTCGGTCCAACCTATTCTCATCCCTAAGTATGAGTTGGTGTTTAGTGGACTTGCTACGGTCTGAAAGAGCTTGGTGCCTACTAAAATCATTGTGTTCTCTTAGTAGCTGTTCAAGAATAGGCTTCCAGCTAGACATAACCTCTTAAGGCAGAGGATTGTGCCTAGTGGTAGTCGTGTGTCATGTGCAATGTGTGTTGGATCGGTGGAGTCGGTTGATCACTTCTTTGTGTTGTGTGAGGTTTCCTCTGCTATCTGGTATTTGGGTTGTTCAAATTCAAATCAATCCAAATAATATCCGCAAATTGATCCAAAAAAGTCAAAAATCGTAATAAAAACCTAATAATCTTTTACGTGTTTGAATTCTCTTTTATGAAAATCGTTAATATCAGGTCGAATTTCAAATTGATTTTTCAAAATCAATCTAACTCAAACCGAACTGCATTCATATATTTAATATCTATTTATTTTATATTAGCATGATATATTATGTCAATTTATTATTCGTTGATATTTACATTGTTTTAAAACTATTTATTAATTTAATCTATCTATTTATTTTTAATATTTCATTTGCTTCAAACATAATCTATCGTTCTCATTTTGTAATTTTAAACTTTTTTATATATTATATATATATTTTATATCTATTATTTTATAGTATTTTTATAATATTAATATTAAAATTATAATCTGAAATTTGAATATCAAAATGTAAAATCAAGCTTCACAAATAAGCTTTTGTTTTGATGAAGACAAACCATGGCTAACAAAGATGTTGGCGATTTTGTATCACCAATGTATTTTAGTAGTAATGTGATTTCTAAAGGCCGGTGCAATTATGCGTTAAGTTCGGAGACGAGTTAGGGAAGTGCGGAGTGCACGCTCGTCGAGCCAATGCATAATTGAATACGAATAATTGAAACGGGGTGCGGGGCAGCGCCTCAACGGACATAACTGTTTCCCAACTGACATATTCGTTTCGAACAAATATGTCTCTTCGTTTTCAATTATTGTTCTCCTATATAAGGAGTCGTTCGGCCTCGGTCTCGCACACAGGAAAAAACGCATCCTTCTCTCTATAATTACAATTCGTTTTCTTTTGTCGGAAACAGAATTTCTTCGAGAATTATCCCCACAAAGATTTCGTGAACCCATGCAAGAATAGGGTCAAAATACTTTGTTCGGAAAGTGTACGAACACGATTCTTCGAAGTTATCCAGGATTATCACACCCTAAATATCTAACAAAAGAAGGCAAAGATTTTGATCAAGCATCTAAGCATCTAAGGATAATATCTTCATTCAAGGCTCTCAACAACTTTAAAGGTATAATAATATTATCTACTTTGATCTTAAGATATAGATGCTCAAAAATGAAAAAGAAATGTTTAAGAATCATTACTCAAGCTTTTCAAAGATAAAATTTCACTTTTCTTCTGCATGCAATCGATTTACATCTTAGTGCAATCGATTGCACACTTCAAAATTTCAGATCTTTTGCTTCTGTTTCTTTGTGCAATCGACTTACATTCCTATGTAATCGATTGCATACTTAAATTTTTCAAAACGTTTGCTACTGACTTTGCATGCAATCGATTACATTGTTAGTGCAATCGGTTGCACTCAGTTAATTTTTGCTACTGACTTTGCATGCAATCGATTATATTGTTAGTGCAATCGATTGCACTCTTAAAGATTTTGAAAAAATAGCTGTTAAAAACCTTGTGCAATCGATTTACACCAAGGATGCAATCGATTGCATACTGCACGAATTTGAAAAATAACAGCTTTGTTCATGCCTTTTCATTACATCTTTTCACTCAAACTTGACATTTGTTCATGATACATTTCCATATCTTCATTATGTTTCAAAAGGGTGTTATGAACATATAAATATTCAATTCCAAATCCAGATCTAACACCTTCTTTCATAAATATTTTCTGAACTTTCAAAATAAAAACTCAAGCATTCTTCATTTTCATGCATAAGTTTTCTGCACATTTTCATACATTAACAAACAGAAAACTTTGAGCAAATATATCTTGAGTCTTTGTACAATATTATTATTGAAAGAATAAGATTATACATTGTCAAATCACTCTAAGTGATCAAAATTACTCTACTCACTCAAACTCACAAATTGATATTTACTTACTTACTTTCCAGGATTGTTGGAATTAAGTTTAAGTGTTTCTGCTGAAATCTTGTTTTTCCAAGTTGTTGGATACAAGTATAGTTACATTGAGAGGATTGTTCTCATAGGTAACTTAGTGAAAATCCAAGAGGATTGTTCTTGGTTTGGTTGGTAGTTCTTGTTTAAGTTTGCCACAATAAAGAAATCTCTTTCATATTGAAAGGGGACTGGAGTACTCTCGGACTGTGAGGGGAACCAGGATATATCGTCCGTGTCTCTTTATTTTTCTGCATTTTTAAGCTTTCCTAAACTCACTTATAACCAGAAAAATAAGAACCATCATCACTAAAAACCAGAATTTTTAAAGTACCTAATTCACCCCCCCCCCCCCCCCTCTTAGGCGCACTTCATACTTACAATTGGTATCAGAGCAGGTTATAGGTAACCTGCTCCTAAAAGATCCAGAATGGCTTCCGCAAATCATAATCCCGTTTTCAGAGATGGTGGTAGTAACAACAAGTCTCCTCTATTTTGTGGTGAATATTTTAACTTCTGGAAAATACGCATGAAGGCGCATCTAGAAGCACAAGGAGAAGAAATATGGGATGCCGTCGAAAATGGTCCATTTATCCCTATAACGGTAATCAATGGTGTTGGCTCATCAAAGCCTAAAACTGCATGCGACGATGATGATAAGAAGAAAGTT